TTTACAGATAAGGAAACTTAAGTTAAATAGCTTAACTTTACACTGCCTGTAAGTGACAGAGCTGGAATTAGAATATAGGTTGACTTCAGAGTCTGTAGTTATAAATATTCACTGCACTTTACTGCTTCTGTAGCAAAAGTTAAATGAAGAAATGAATGAAGGAGGGCTGGGGATGTGGCTCAAGCTGTAGCGCGCTTGCCTGGCATTTGTGTGGCCCGGGTTCGATCCTCAGCACCACATACCAACAAAGATGTTGTGTCTGCCAAGAACTAGAAAATAAATATTAAAAATTCTCTCTCTCTCTCTCCTCTCTCACTCTGTCTTTAAAAAAAAAAAATGAATGAAGGAATGAATCTTCACCAAAGCACAATGAGAATACTGACTTCAATTATGTAAAACTTGAGTTCTTTGGTTTCTCCTTCAAAAAGAATTTATACAGGTGCACTATTTACCTTATTACTAAAATCATCCACTCCCCAGAACCACCCACACTCACTCCTATGCCAGCATGGAACACCTGAAGATAGTCCAGTTTCCTAAGTGTCAGCTGCATAGCCACTTAATTTATGCCAGTTTTCTGTAAAGTAAGCTAAAGTCTCCCATGCCAGCAGTTCTTCTCCTAAAACAGTTAAAAAGGAAAAGTAACCGGTTCTAAATACAGCATTTACACCAGCATTTCCAAGCTTTTCATTCTAAAAAGTGTTTTAATGAGTGTAAGCTAAAGACATAAGAAAAGTATTATCCACCCTCTCCCAGCAGATAAAATCTGATTAACAAAAGGTCAGACAGACCGGAGTTAGAATCCTACCTCAGCCATTTACTATTCTCACAAATGCAAAATATGGCTAACGAAAATATTAATCCCACAGGGTTGCTGTGAAAGTGAACAGGATACCTAGTGAAAGGTAAATACTTTGTATAAGTATTAGTGCCAAATGTTTATCCTAGAGACTTGACAAAATCATCTATTTGTTTTACGCCAGAGAGCAAACTGCCTCTACTGACAGCTTTCTAGTTTCTCCCTCTGCAAGGAGAGGATTAAAATCCAGGCCTCCCAATGCCTATGTAGTGCTTACTCCACACCACTCCACTGTGCTTTCTTAAAACAGTGGGGACACTCATTCTCTCCTCTCTGCAAATCACAAGGCCATCTTCTGAAAAGAGTCAGAGATACTGAAACATCTAACAGAGATAAGAAACTCACTCATCAAAATTTTCAGGAACTACTGCTTCAGGTAGCATTTGGGTGGGGGGGTGAGTGGGGTATAATCTATGTCCCAAGAATCCATGTATAATAAATACATACAACAAAAAACTGAAGTATTATTAATTCCTTTAAGGAATAATTAAACATTCTTCCATGGGAGGAAATAATGCCAGTTAACATTTAAGTGTGTGACACAATATTAAATTTCTTTTTTTTTTTTTTTCATTTAATCCTCAAAACCCAACCCTCCTACCTTGAGTTGTCGTTCTATGTACTGGTGCAGTTACCTGGTATTTTCCTTCTCAAAGTCCATATATGTTGTCATATAACTGCCTAACTGCCTACTTACTTGTTTTTAAAAATACAGGGGACATAACAATCATGTTTACCATTCATTTTTCTTGCAACAAATATTCTTGAGCACGAACAAGGCAGAAATGGTCCTGGCCCACTGTAGCAGATAATATTTACCAAAGATAATTACAATAAAACCTTCCATCTCACATGCTCCTCTTAAAAATGTGACTTCAGTGTGCCTCCTATTTCATGTATAGATGTTAATGTTCCTTCCACTTGAACCTGCTCCCACAGAGTATAGTAGAAGTGATGCCATATGACCTGTATGGTTAGATAATAAAAATGCTATGCATTTCCACCTTATTCTCTTGGGTCACTCATTATTGGGATCCAGCTACCATAATGGGGAAGAAGCCTACACTGGCCCATGCAGAAAGACCACAGAGAGAAATAACCAGTCTGCTGAGGCCCCTGACATCATGGAAGAGAGAAACATTCCCCAACTGTGACTCATTCAAATTCCTGACCCACAGACAAGGCAACTGGTTTTGTGTCAAAACACATTAAAATTTGGAGCTAAACTCACATCCTAACACCATAGTCTTCTGTCTTCCTCGGTACTTAATATTTTATTCTAAATAAACATTAACTTATTTTACAATGGGATTAAGAACATTCTGCAAATATTACTAGTGTATTTTAAACATTCTGGCCTAATGGAATTCACTGTGCAGGTTTCACCACTGAGATGGAAACCTTAGAAAACCCTTCCCTGATCTTCCTAACTCAGTTAATCCCTCCCTCATCCTCCCAAACCTTTCTACTATTTCATACTCTAACACAGTTTCATTTGCCCAGCTGAAGATGTCTTATTAATTTATCAATGAGTTTACACTACTTTCTCTGACTTGAATATAAGCTCCATGACAGCAGGAATCTTATCTGTCTGGTTCATTGATAGTGCCTGGGACAATGCCAGAAATACAGTAGGTGATCAAAAATTACATACTGAAGGAAGAAATGGATGCATTCAGTCCACTGAAAGTCCGGAGGATAAGAGAAAACAATAAAAAATATTCCAGCAGAATCATTCCATAGTCAGGTCAGTTAAAAAAAAAATGGAAGAGGGGGTGAGATCCAAGTATAACTAACCCACTTAGAAAAGCATAAACCCTGAGTTCAGTGGATCCAACTTTCAACCAAGAAAGAGCTGATGAGGAGAAAGGTGTTCAAATTGTGAATGAAGATGTAGGTAATGGGATGGAGTTGGGATACTAACCTCCATTCATAACTACTGATCATTCCCTCCTCAGAAAAATAAAAAATAAAAATCAGTTTCTCTAGACACACTGGCTGAACCACACCAAAGACAACTGTTGGTGGCCCTCTAACAGCAGAACTTCTATACTTCATCTGGCCCTTTTTTTTTTTTTTTTTGCATCTCCCAGGGCAAGGAGGCAGTAGCCTAGCTCTTCAAGGAAGAGTGAGGTATCTTCAGATCCAAGGCTGGAATCTCGACACAGTAGGTTCCCGAGGACGCTATTTCTTTAGGAAGGGAATGTGACCATTCCTGAGGATCTACCAAGTGCCCAGCACTATGCTGGGCTCTTAAACATGCTTTTTCTAATTTACAGACTATTTCTTCCTCCAACACAAAAATTAATAGAGACCTTAAGTATAACTTCCCCATCTTACCTTTCCCGAACTCACTACTCCCTACCCCAAGAAATAGTCAAAACTCTAGGTGCGGTTGCGGAAGAAAAAAGAAAGAAAGAAAGAAAGAAATCTGGCGTAGCCTAAGAAAGAAAACCCGAGGGGAACAGTGTTAGACAAGGGAAGGGTCCTATTCGGCTGAGGCCCCGGATCAGTAAAGATTAAGATAAGAATGCTGTCTGACCCTTTCCAAGCCCAATGTGTCCGTCAGAAGAGGTGATCAGGAGCAGGAAACTGAAGCCCAGCAAACAGGTGGCCCCGAGACGAGGCCACATCTCCATGGTGCTAGGTGCGAGGGACCACCGGGCTGACCCGACACAGGGCCCGAGTCACCGCAAGAGATCCGTTTCTTTTCCTTAGAGCGGGTCAGCCCAGACCCTCTCTTTCTCAGATTTTTTTTTTTTT